TACTATCATCAACACCACCGCTACTGCCATCATCAGCGTCGGGTCACTATCGTCCACACCATCGCTGCTACCATCACCAGCGTCTGGCTACTATCATCAACACCACCGCTACTGCCATCATCAGCGTCGGGTCACTATCGTCCACACCATCGCTGCTACCATCACCAGCGTCTGGCTACTATCATCAACACCACCGCCGCTGTCATCATCAGCCTCTAGTTACTAAAGTCGAGACCATCCCTGCTACCATCCCGATGCACCATGACCATCTGGTTACTGGAATACCGAGTTACCACCACCCTTACCTTCACCACGGAACCTATAGATACTAGTGAAACACCACCGCCATGCACTGCCAGCATGACAGTCTGGTTACTATCAACATTACCACTGACGCTTCCACACGCTACTCCTAGGTATAACATATGGCTGCGTCCTAGCGAAACTTAGTGACCGTAATTATAACATGACCTTGTTTGAAGTGTTTCATCGCCTAAGAGCCCAAGAGCCCGAGAGCCCGGGAGAATGAGGGGTAATCATCAGGGCGCTCTCGTGGAGTCCCTACCCATTGCTTCTACACAAGCGGGTTACTCTCAACGCTGACCTCCCCCTCCCCTCCCCCTCGCACTCGCACTCCCCTCCTTCCTTTCGATACTCGACAAGCCAATCTGCGTGGTAAGCTGCGTTTTAGCTACACAGTAGAAAAGCTGTCCAGAATAGAGCAGGCGCCAAACTCATGCTGAGCGCTCGAAACTTGTTGTTTTTGTGCCAGTTTCGCTATTCTTCGCACCGATTCCGACTTGGAAACGTATTTCGGTAATAAAACAAGCGACCTAAGCATGGTTTTGACTTGGAGACATTTCAGTGATAAAAGAAGCGACCTAAGCATAGCTATTTTTGAGTTTTCTAAAGACAGCAATGGGTGAGCGTTAACAGCCAGCTCTTTGCTAGAACCCATACCGCCCACTGATACATCAATAGGAGTACGTATATCGAACAAAAAGTCCAAGCAGTTAACTCGGTACTGTCATCTTTAGTATCTCACCATGCGGTTGCGATTGCACATTGAAAATATCAGGAGTTAATAAATACATTATTATTTATTATTATTAATAATAATACATTATTAATGTATTATTAGCTCTTGAAAATATCTTCATCGAGTCACGTTTTATTCCCTTTACATACGTCTTGGTACGTACGTATTACTTCCGTAATTACTTACATAAATACGTCCTTGGAAATAATCGGAAATTGCACAGACCCTCCTGTCGCGTTTACCTCGTGAACATGCGCCTGATATCTAACCCAATTTTTTAAAACATCAAGGTGTCTTTTGTATCTAGCCCCATGTCAAGTGGAATTCAAGTATGCAGTAAAGCATATCGCTACACAAAGAAGACTCGCTATGATAGATGCTATGAAGGATTATGTGCGCATGACCGCATCAGACAACACTTATATAAAACTTACTGCTCAACACTCGTTGGCTACTGCGCTTCGTGTAGCTGTGAGGAAAGTGACTTCTTTCTTTTTCATCGCATCAATTAAGCAGGACTCGCTTTTCACGTTGACTGCTTTTTATTGCCAAACAGATCTTTCTGTTGTACGTTAAAATTCGTCATTGTACCGTTATCGTGCGTGTTTGTTTAAATGTTACGTCTGTCAGTAATCCATTGCTTAAACAAGCGAAAGTATGCCACAGGCAGTGCCTCTCAGCAGTCATATCTATCTCGCCTTAGGCTCAACCTGAGAAGCGTGAGTGCAGGGACATGCACACGCACACACGCACACGCACACGCGCGCGCGCACACACATATATATATATACTCTCTCTCTCTCTCTCTCTCTCACTTTTTTCATCTACATAAAACGCACGCACACGCGAGCCCACTATTAAAACAGATTAGTCTCAAAAATCATAGAAAGAGCGTCTTCAAACTAGTTACACGACAGACAGACCCCTTTCTCGTATGAAATGAGACTATTCGCATGCTAATCCTGGATGCAATGTTACCAGAAATTAATCTGTCAGCATATTCTTCGGTGATTGTTCGGACCAGTCGACTTCGAGGATAATCTACACTCATCAATCTCTCTCGGGGACTATTTACACGAATGCCTTCATCGCACACTACGAAACCCTTTCACAGGCGTTCACTTCCTACAATAATTTCACAATAAAAAAAAAATTCGATATAAAAACATAGACAGATAAACATCTTGCA